AAAACCTTTATAACATCCTTCCAGTACTTGTAAAGCGTTTTGAGAGTCCTCCCCTTTTTATACGACCAACGCTATAACGCACTATGACATTTCGTGTCTCGTAAAGATTAGAGCATCAGACGAGTCGTTAAAATTCTTCTTTCATTTACAGTTATGTGAAAACATTACGTCAATCAAATCATTTCGTTCAGATGCAATGAACTAGGCCAAAATCATTGCATATGTTGTACCTACCGCATATGTGACTTAGGAGCAAAAAAAGCGCATGTCGTATTAGGGAAAAAATCTTGTATTAGAAAGCTGGGCATCGAGCCAAAAAGTCTCTTGACATGCAAAAAAAAAGAAATCTCTAAAAGACGAAAAAGATTATGAATTAAAGCTTATTAGCCAAGGTTGTGATTTGAAATTGAGAGATAAGTTTAATCATAGTGCCGTTAAGTTTTACTGCTAAGATGCATACGTTTTATGGGAGGTTCGGACGACATTGTCAACAGATCTTGCTCTTTACGGCTGCTGAAACGTTACTTTAACGGTTTTATAGTTTTCGTCGTTCGTCGCGCTGGCGGTCACGACTCCCTAATAGCTAGCGCTAAGTGCCCGCTCGGGGCTTCGTTGCCCTCAAATATCCTTGTGTTTTTCTCTTTCTTACCCGATTTCCATCTTTACGATATAGTCTTACTTTTTTCTTTTATGAGCTCTATCGCCACATAACTGTTAGAGGTCCTGAACTCTTTATATATATTAAACGTGACATAAATGAAGAAGAAACTTATGTATTATTTACTGTTACTATGTTACATGAGGATTTTTACGGTATTTTTACGGTTTTATTTCAATACAAATAAGGTAAATATTTGTCACGTCATGACGAATGTTAAATACTATAGTAATTACTAGCGTTACGTTTTCACGTTTAGTATACCTAGATTTCTCAGAGATGAAATACTCTCCAAAAAATTAAAAGCAGTAATAAGTATCCTATTATGTTGACCCGGATAACTACCTATCATCATACCAATTTCATCAAAATCTATCCAGCGGTTTGCTCGTGATGCGATCACAAACACAGACAGACAGACAGAGAGACAGACAAAAATTCTAACAACTATAGACTCGGCCTCTATATCGACGTATATTAACAACTATTTCAATAAGATTTTCCAAAAAATATTTAAGGTACAGATTCAGCTTAGTTACAATTTTATTATATGTATAGAAGATATAGGTAAATTTAATTTGTTGTTTTTTTGTTGTTGTAGGTCTAAGATTTACAGAGGATTTCCTCTTTGTTACATATTATAATTTGTGTATTTAGCCCTTTTTTAACGTCCCACTGCTGGACATGGGCCTCCCTTCAACACGAGGGGACTCAGGCCATAGTCCACCACGCTGGCCAAGTGCGGATGTGCGAATGGTGTGGCAGACTTCGCATGTCTTTCGAAAACTAGCTAGGTTTCCTCAGACATGCAGGTTTCCTCACGATGTTTTTCTTCACCATAATATATGTGGTAATCATATTGAAAATGAATCGCACATGAAAATATCAGAGGTGCGAGACGCGGGATTTAAACCCGCTTCACTCGTTTACCCAAGCGAGCGCGTTACCACTAGGCTACCATGCTGCCTCCTATTATAATTTAATTTATTTACGTATCTCAATTTACCGACCAATCTCTCTCGTGCCTTCTCTATTCTACATGACATTAGCGAAATAATCCGTTCTTTTCTAGCACGTCTTAAGGCCACTAACAAGAAAATTGAATTGAACAATTTCAGTGTTTTATGGATGTGAAGGGCACCATTTTATAAAACTGTTATAATTTTAGTGCTACGTGAACTTTAAAGCCTTCTTTAATTATATCTGAAACAAGAGACGGCACATGCGACGTTGCCCCGTCACGTCAACTGCAGTCAACTGCATCCAAGTATTAATTTGCAGCAGTAATTAATTAATAACATGTGAACACTCGCCATTCGTCAGCGACATTGCAGTCACTACGGAGACATATCTAAACCACATTTCTAGATGGAAAGCAATCCATAGTAGTACGCGCGGCTATACACTATATACAAAATCTGTATAAAGATAAAAAATCTCAATAAACGAAGTATTTTCTAAAGATTTTCAACACGCGGGAAATTGTATTAGTAATGTAATTAATGATATATCATCATCGTTATTTGAACATGGACATACTATTTGGTAGTAAACATTATCATATAACTCAATTCGTAAAGATTTATAGAATCTGTCCGTAGCGTTGATAAAAATCTAATAATTTTATCGTCTATCGAATCGACGCACCAATACAAACTGAATTATTCATGTCTATAATATCGCAATATATCTCGATACGTCGCTACAATGATTTAAGAAACACGCTTTCCGCTTAAATATCACAATATCATCTCTTATTTCGATAATATTATATTCTAATATAAATAAATATCTTAGCTTCAATAGCTAATCCAAAATATGATCAAAAAGAAAGGATTATAATCTAAACTCTTGTCATATTGTTGAAAATATTTTTATAAAAATTGTATTACTCTATTTTTAATAGATATTTATAGAACTAATATATTAAAGCTAATATATATATATATATATATATATATATATATATAATGCATGCGCTGTATATTCGCAGGCAGATTAAAGCATGTTTCCTTCACGATGCAATGCGTCGCGGCGCGCTTTTGAAATGCCATTTTGAAAGGATTCTCTGCCAACTAACCAAGTAATATGTCAAGTTTCCACTGAAATTATAGCTCGCATGTGCTTATTTACGGCTCCGGATTACGTATGTCGTGAAAGCCAACGAAATTAATGTCGAAAATACTGAAAAGAAATATAACTAAGAAACTGTTTCAAGAAAATGATTCCCTCAAGGCAATTAAATACTTAAAACCAAACTTAACCTTTATATTGACTGTAAATTTAGTAAATTTCAAATTTTATTACTAAGCTATTTTTTGGAAATTTAAACAATATAATCAATTTTTATTTTTTAAATTAAAAGAAAACCCGAAACGTCAAAATCAGCTTTCAATCTGATGAACTCTATGGTAGTAGATACTTAATAAAAAAGCAATATAAGTGCAATAGGCAGTAAGATAAACTGTTAGATTATAAGGCTATGATAACCGAAGTTTAATAAATGAAGTAGTGTCAAATAATATGATCACGTAGGGGTAGTTATGACGTACCGCGCAACAAGTGAGGCGCCAGCCAGCCGGCCGGGGCGCTGGGCGGAATTTCAATCTGGTCATGATGAGCAAAGGCGTAAATTACATGTCTTTCCCTCTTACACTTTTCCGATATGGTCTCACCAGTGTTAATATGCCTCAATTGCCCAATGATCGTGGGTACCCGCACATCAAATTCAAAGTGGGGAATTTAAATTATTATCTATTGCTTTTTTGAAGTATTTCTAATTATTTGTTAATAATTCATTTCATAAATATTTATGTATATAAATGAAATATCCACAATTTTACGAAAATTTTATTATTTTACTAATAGGTGATTCTTTAAATTGACGTAACTTTTTCATTTATGAACCGATTGAAATAAAACTAAATGTTAAGTGAAGCTTACCATAATATATTAGTCAAAACCGCATCCAAATCGGTTAAGCCTTATCTGCGATTATCGCGCACAAACGCACAGACAAACAGACAAACCGACAAACAGACAAACTGACAAACAGACAAAAATTCTAATAATCATTGTTTTGGGTTCTATTGCGGAAATAAGGACCCCCAATTTTTTCTCAAATATCTTCCATGTAGAGACAAGATTTTCTCAAATATCTTCCATGTACAGACAGCGATAAGTTACACTTTTATTATATGTATAGATAACGGGATAAATTTCATCAGATTAGATATCTCCTTCAATACTTATAACTAGGACATAAGCCGAATTATATATCTAATTAGATAGAAATAAATAAGAAATAGTGAAGTCGATATTTAGTCTGTATAATAAAATAGATTGCATCGCGCAACAAGTATGGCGACACGTCGGCGCCCATATAACCTATCGTATGGATTATAAATGATTAAATATAACATATAAATACCCTTAAAAATATACAATTTCGTATGTATAATACACTCATAGTAAACACGCGTTTTTCAATCCTATATACTATAAATAAACTAAATATTATTAAGGCTTATTTAAAAAAATATCTATGCATATAATAAAATTGTAACTAAGTCGAATCTGTACATTAAATATTTTTTGGAGAATCTTATTGAAATAGACATTATTATCGATACAGAGGCCGATTCTATAGTTTTTAGATTTTTTGTCTGTCTGTCTGTCTGTTACCGCATCACGAGAAAACCACTGGACAGATTTTGATGAAATTTGGTAGGATGATAGCTGGTTATCCGGGTCAACATATAGGATACTTTTTACCGCGGGAAAATATCTCATTTCTGAGAATAAATACAAATACTTCATCGTAAGAGTATACTTACGAGTATATGTAAAACCTAAGAATTTGGTTTTTGGTTATCTGAACGCGGGCGAAGCCGCGGGCAATGCTAGTTAAATTATAAATTACATATTTTAAACTAAATTCCCTATTTTTATTAAGTACGAACAAAATTATAATTAATTGGTTTAACAGGTATGAGGTATCTAACTTATGATTCGCTTCTACGCACTGCCTACAATTTCTACGCTGCTACGGCGCTGTAAAACCATTACTTTCTATTAAAGCTGTTGAATTGCATATTTAAAAAAATATGTAAACATTTTTTTAAGAAATATATATTTTTAGATAATATTATCGATTAAAATATTTGGTACAATGAATAAAAAATTGATGAAATCGATTTTCTCCAAAATATTATAATATTTTATTCATTCTTTTATTTGCACAATTTATCATACTTATTGTAAAGTATAATTTGCGAACAAAAGAATCGTCTACTCTGTATGAACTAGGGTGGTACGATCCAAGGTCCTCCATCCACGACTATGTAAAGGCTGCAGGGGCGCCGTAATGGTCGTCCACTTCCGCTTTATTAAATTTCTTCGCAAATACACTTTTATAGACGGCCTGATCTTTGTTGGGACCATTGTCTTCACGTCTGTATCGTAAGCAAATAGCCGAGCAAACGGGATGCTCTATTATTTTTATACGTACAAAAATTTCTGCAATAAAATATAATGCAATCGTTTTGAGTGTTTGTTAGAGCGGAAAAACTTACACGTTACTAGTTGAACATGTAATTATGTACCTAAATATTATATCTTATTTCGAAATTTCAATATTTTTAAGGCAATTATAGTTAAACTGTTTTGAAATAATTATATAATAATATATAATTTAATAGTACTTTTACGAGTATGCGATAGACAAAGACGACTTTAAGGTCAAAAATGATATTAGAAATGGACAACATATAAAAGACGTTGATAGCGCTACCGCTTGGTAAAATGTAAACAGGTTACAGGTCGCCGGGCTCTTAATGAAGTTACGTGGGTGTGGGAAGCATTACTCATACCAATGGTAGACCTGTGACGCAAATCACATATACCTTTAGAATTATAGCAAACAAACAATGAGAAATTAAATGGAACATGCTTCTACAGCGTCTTTGTTGAGCGTAGTACATTTTACTTATTCATTATAATCTGTTAATCTGTGTTGATAGTGCAGAGTCCAAGGAAAACTCCGCCATTTTAATCGCACAGGAATATAGAAAAAATCATGTTTATTATATCACATCTAGCATTCCGAAACGCATGCAATTTTCGATGTTCTCTACTCTTCTATATGTAGTTAGCGAAATTTTGAAAATTATGTTAAAATTTTTCTTAGTATTATTTACATACTAGCAGAACCCGGCTTCGCTCCCGCTAAAACTACAAAGGCTAATTTTCATCCCCTATGGGTAATATAGGGGATGAAAATTTGTATAGTAAAAGAACTTCAACTGTTGTCTTATGTCCGCTGTCTCTACCTTTCTAATGAAGCTATAGTTGTGAGTAATTATAATGACATACCTTTGTCGTAATCCCTTCAGGATATAAACCGCATTAAAAGATAATTTACAGAAGTTTTATTAGATACTTGAGACTAGTCCTCACTTCACTTGTAGAGATCACTAGCTCTTTAGTTTCTTAATATATATGTCACTATATTAGTAGGCTATGTATTTCTCTAGGTCATAGCCTATCTCTGTACTAAAATTCATCCAAATCCGACCAGTTATTTTAGTGTGAAGGGGTAGCAAACATACACACACACACATACAGACACATACAAACTTTCGCCTTTATAATAGTTGATAAGATAATTAGCAATTTACATTCATCTATTACAAATCAATATATTATATGTTAATATTACGATATTATTATACTTTTATATAGGTATCGAGTTAGAAGACTCATTTGAGTAAAGACTGTGCAATCTATATAGGTTCTTAATGAAATTTACGCAGAGTGTGAGCAACGTAATGACGTACGCGAGTCGACTCGCACCGTCACATAGGGGTGTATTCAGGTCGGAGTCTTAGCGATCTATAATGACTTTTCGCGTGATTTCCTTCACGGACTTAAATTTGATTTAGGGTTGCTCTATCGATAAATTATTTATTTATATAACAAATAACTTCAACTTTTAATATACACATTTTATTTGGTTCCGTAAAGATTTTTTTTCATGTGTGTAATAATCACACACCCAATTTGAAATTAAAAATGCAAAATTAATTATAGAGCTTTTTACAAAAAAAACTATGTATGATGTATAATTAAAAACTTTTTTAATCAAACATTTATTGAAGTAGTCCCTATTTTTTGAGACGCAACCCTGCTTTAGCACTCAGGCAGCTGGATGTTCGTCTCGAACAAATTGCCGTGATGCCTCGCCATATTAAGTTAACGTCCACCCTCCCCATCCCTTCCATTTTCGCTCCTACACGCTAAGTTCACTATTCTATTGTCATTATAATTTTCTTAGTCTGCGATGAAAATTACTTCAATAAATATATTAAACATTTTAAATAAAACTATCTTTTCGGATTATTTCGCGGATTTATTTTGATTTTTGGTTCCCGACGTTTCGATTGCTTTAGAGCAATCATGGTCACTGGAGAGACGGAGGTGTTAGATGTCTCGAAGGTATAGTTGTTACAGACAGCCTACCCACAATTAACAAAAAACTTTTTAACAAAAAAATAAAAACCGACTTCTAACAAAAGCACTAAAAAGTAAAAAATAACTGATTGGTAGTTTTCATTTACTATACATACCTAAACAAATATTTTCGAAGTCGGTGAAATGTGTATTTCAATAAAATTTACCAAAAAATATTTAAAGCACAGATACTGCTTCATTAAATTTTAATGTATCTATACCTAGATGTAACTAATTTATAAAGCCAAAAATTTAGTAGTAATTCTAATAAAATCATAGAAAGGTCGAATTTGAACATTCATTTTTTTGGAATTAAAACTACGTATTTTAAAGACACATGGCGACATCTATTGACAAATATCTAAATAATACAAAAATAAATATTCATTAAAATAATTTTTTTAATGAATAAAATAGTGCTATTGATATACTTTTTCAAGATTAACTATTTTTAATAGTTTTTGACATATTTAGTAAGTTAACTTGCTAAAATCATCAGTATCATCGTCTTTTTATTCTAACCAGGTTTTGTATTTTTTCTCAGAAATGAGATATTTTTCTGCGGTAAAAAGTATCAAATTTCATCAAAATCCGTCCAGTAGTTTTTCTGTGATGCGGTAACAGACAGACAAAAATTCTAAAAACTATAGATTCGGCCTCTGTATCGATAATAATGTCTATTTCAAAAAGATTTTCTAAAAAATATTTAATGTACAGTTTTGACTTAGTAAGAATTTTATTATATGTATTATATAGATGTCAAATATTCGCGTAAATCTAAGAAAGTATTAAATATATTAAAATTAAATTACCTTTTTGCCTTTATTCTAGACTGTTGCATACGTACAACTAACGTACTCATTTATGAGCCTATTATAAGCTGCGGCACGCTTATGAAAACTATAATCAATAACTGGAGCCGTACATTTTTCATTACCCGAAGGTAAGGGCGTGGGGTATAAATGCCAACGCGTCGTAGAGAACGTCAGGGGGCCGCGAGGAAAGTCGGGGAGGGTGCAGAACAATGGCCACCATGACATTTAGCATGGAAACGATTGTCACGGTCCGTTAAAGTCGCCAGCCACTGAGCGTACAGCCGCCCTCCACTCAGCTCTTCGAATCCAAATCGTCAGAGATTCTTTTCTTTCGTTCGTTTTTTATCTTTGCCGCAGACGTTTCATATCAAAGTTTTCTAATTACTTATCTCCCCCAAGTTATATCTTAGCATTGAATGAAAACGTGATTGTATGCTGACAGTTACAAGTCATAAGCATAAGGGATGATACATACTCGTATATTGCATCATTATTAAATATGTTTTAAACGCATTTCCCACGCCGATACGAACTTCACTAAGGGATAAATTGAAAATAAGTATAATAGTACATAAGTTAGTGAGATCCATAGGTTATCCAAAATTGTTATAATTATCTTGCCATCACACAAAAATTATATATTGTTTATAAAATCTAATTAAATTACACAATTTGCCTTAAACGATGTACATGTTAACTTCAATCTCAATATATATTAAACGTCAAATTCAATGCTTGATGTTAAATGATGTAATTACCTATACATTTTAAATACAAAGACATTAGAACTATTGCGGTATTCGAAATAAAAAGCTTTTAATTTTTTTGATTCTGCTTGCAGAAATAGCTACTTTTATAGGCCCAAATGGAACAAAAAGGTATATTTGGCAGTATCTTCGCTGTGTCATGTAGGCTTTGTTCACGTCCCAAAGCTTGGCCAGCATTTATACACCTGCGATATTGAAATAGTAAGCAAGCTACATACATTGCAAACCACTGCCCTTTAAAGGCTATAGATTGACCATCATATTTGTTGCTTAGAAAGTAGCAGATTATTTTTTAACATCAGGTCTATCAGGCTAAAATATACTGTACAATAATAGATGTTTACTAAAAGCGTAATTGCTATTTTAAACAAAATGATTTGACTAAGAATACCTCCTTCATTTAATTTTCTCTATACCACTTGCAATTGTTAAATTACGTAATATCTCATGTTATCGCCTTTACCGATGACGAGAGAGCTGGCTCATTTTTCGCCGAAAGGTTCGGCATTGCGATTCTACGGGAAATGCAGGCAGCATTCTTGACACTATTCCACACGGATATAAATTAACTTTCGATATTGTCATTAAATAATAGAAATTTGATTGTGTCTATTTCATATGTACATACAATAATATAAACATACACATAAAGGGAATAAGTAACGAATAAGTAGTATACAAAATTAAATTAGCAATTAGAACAACAAACATTCGAGTTAAACTGAAGCGTTTGAAATCGACAAGAACATTTAAATCTCGGATAATTTCAGTCGGCGGGCTCGTTTACATATTACAATAACTCTAGGCCTGATGTTGCTGACAAGCATTCACTGAGATAATCGCTTGTATTGTTCACGAAGGCGTAATCCTTTTAAAGGAGCATTATCTGCTGTAATCGTGATGTAAACGAACTTTATTAAATTTGTTTATTAACTGCAATCTCGTCAAGGTGAACATTGTATGGAAATAAATATTTTATACCCATACTGATAAATGAAAATTTATGAAAATTATATTTTATTAAAATATCTATATGATATGCATAGATGCCTTAAAATGTAATACATAATTTATAACTGAAGTAGTTAACAATGAAAACGTTCAAACCATTTCAAGGTACATATATATTCGACGTATTACGAATAGGCCTTAGAATTTATATTACGTCGAAATATACGTGTACATGTTAAAAATATGTGTTCTTATACAACACTTTAGCAATAAAATCGAACAATGCCGTTCTAAATATATATGTATATATGTATCTTAGCCATTGCTTTTGTAAATATTGCTTTCAACGCCTTATAATATTACTAATGCAGTAAATAGAGCTATTAACGAATTTTTATAACCGCCTCCACTGTGGAATCGAAGGGAGGCTGTAATGTAGGCATTTTTATTTTATGCGGTGACACTCTGAACACCAATAGGGAAATTGGATTGATACTACTTTTAAGAGCTTTTTAAGGCATGAACCACGTTTTTATGCACAGCTCAATATTGCTTCTTTACGTTTTATTTATTTATTTATTTATTTATTAGGATTACCAACAGAAATGACAACAGTAATACAAAGATAATAATTTACATAATAAATTGATCATAGTATAATTGTATTTCTTTTTAAAGGTAATCACAACATGCATTGATTTTTATAAATAGAGGCATAAAACATTTAAAAATTAAATTGGATTACATAATAATATGAGAAAATTGATATTAATAATTTAAAAGAAATATAATTATTCAACATAATAAATATTTTCATTATTATACATTAAATTTTTAAACACATTTTAGACAACAAATTAATTCAAATGTTTTACTTATAAGTTATATTATAATTTATTTATTTATTATTTTGAAAAAATTAACTAATTTTCGTTTGAAAGCGAACATACTATCGTAAGCAATATCGAGGTCAGAAATCTTTGAGGACAGATCATTATAACGCGTGCTAGTCTGGCTAAAGGGGAATACTTTCCCAAGTTAGATTTATGTAAGGCTACATTAAATAAGGCTTGCGGTTTTCTAGGCAGTCTTGATGGCACATTAAAATTAAATAATTGGACAATTGCTGGACTATCTATGCTGTTACTAAGTGTTTTGTACAGGAACAACATGTCTGAGATATTTCTACGCGATTGTAGTGATGTGATGTTATATTGTACCAACTGTTTATCGTAGGAATTATAAGTTAGGCTGCTGTGCGAACGGTATGCCAAATGACGTAGCAGTCGCTTTTGTATTCTTTCAATTCTGATACTATGGATTTTGTAGTGAGGATTCCAGATTTGACTACAATATTCTAGTTTACTACGAACCAGACTACTAAAAAGTTTGATTGTAGTTGATGACTGTCTGAACTCTCTGGAGTTCCTCAATACAAAACCCAGTGACTTCGTAGCTGAGGTAACTATGCTATCGATATGGTCGGTGAATTTTAATTCGCTATCAAGTATAACGCCTAAATCACGTATCGTTCGAACTACATTCAGTTTTTCGGTTTCAATATAATATTGGCTACGTATGTAATTTTGTTTCCTAGTGAACCTGATAAGGTGACATTTTTTGGCATTGAGAAACATTTGGTTATTTTTACACCATTGTACAAGGCGATTGAGATATTTGTGTAATAGTTCACTGTCAGAGTTATTTCTAATAGTTTTAACTATCTTGAGATCGTCAGCAAATAGATAGACCTTCGAATGTTGAAATATGGAAACAATGTCGTTTATAAAGATGTTAAAAAACACTGGTCCTAAATTCGAGCCTTGGGGTACGCCGGAATAGGCAATATATGGCTGCGATGAGTACCCATCTATCACCACGGTTGAAGACCTACTTAGAAGGTATGATGCACACCAGTTTAATAGTGTCCAATTTATACCAAGTGATCTCAATTTATTAATTAGTAAAGCGTGATTTACTTTGTCAAAGGCCTTAGAGAAGTCTGTGTATATGGCATCCACTTGTAATTTATTATCAACATTCTCAATTAAATCAGTGACGTATAAGAATAGATTTGTGACAGTAGACCTACCAGACAAAAATCCATGTTGCTGCCAGCATATACGCCGTCCTAGATTTTTGAAAAATGATTCATAGACTAAACTCTCAAAGACCTTTGACATAGTAGATAATATAGAAATAGGTCTGTAATTAATGACACTCATAGGATTTTCACTTTTAAAAATTGGTACAATCCGCGCTTCTTTCCACTTTTCGGGAAAAATGCCACTGTTTAAGGAGGTGTTAAATATAATAGCCAACGGAAGGGATAACAAGTTTGCACACCTATGTAAAAATATAGGAGGAATACCGTCTGGACCAGCACTCTTTGATATATCCAGTCTTTTTAACCTCTTTTTAATTTTTTGTTCGGAAAAGTGTGTATTGCCTATATAATTTTTGGGTTTAGGTACTAGCTGTATATTAGGATTGTTATTAATATTATCATCTTTAATAAAAGCAGATGAGAAGTGACTAGCAAACAAATCACATATTTCTTGCCTACTGTTTGCCTCGCGATCATACAGAGACATTTTATTAGGATAATTAGAACCTTTACGACGCATGTTTTTCATATGTGACCAGAAATATTTCGGATTATTGCTAATGGCTTCCTCGATGTGTAGAATATAATGATAGTAACATTGTTTTATGAGTTTATCGCAATCCTTCCTCAAATAAGATAGTTCAATTTTATCTAGTGGATTATTATAAATTTTAATTTTACTATGACATTTGTGTTTTTGCTTTATAAGTTTAATTAGAGCGGGGGTAAACCAGATAGGATAAGATTTTGACGTTTTGGACGATCTGGGCACGAATTTATCTATTGCTACCTGCAGAATTTCGTAGAATTTAGATATCATATCATTTACATTATTAAGTACACCTAAAGTATGTAGCCAATCAATATCATTTAGGTATGCTATAATGGAATCAAAATCGGCTCTTTTAAAATTATAGAAACATTTATTTTTAGTCGTGTGGAAATTATTTGTTAGATTAATTTTAATGAAAAATTCTAATGGTGGATGTAAAATATCTACTTTGCGTATCGGAAACTGACTTTCAAATACATTGATGTTTATATTAGACAAGACTAGGTCAAAAATTTTTCCGCTTGTATTTTTGTTAGTGTTGTATTGATTCAGATCGTGCAAAGCGAAAAAATCTATTAAGTTACTTTTAAGAAGACAACTATCATAGTTACTTGGGGATGCATGCTTACCACTAATCGCGGGTTGATTTGTCCATGTGATAGAACTCATGTTGAAGTCACCAATCAGTAAAATCGAGTTATTAGCCGTGCCTAGGTTGTTATTATTTATTGTATCAGTGGTATTATTAATGAAGGTTTCCAATGTGTTACAATCAACTGGCGGCGGGATATATACTGCGCACACATGTAAACATTCCGTAACATTACCTGTGATAAGTTCAATTGTAACCCATAAGTCTTCACAAAGACTTTCCCATCTAATTTGTCTACTCGAGTTGATACCGCCCTTTTTTACTGCTATTAAAACTCCACCACCGTCTTTCTTATGATTAGATAGGGAAGATGATTCACGATCGCGTCTATATACGTGGTATCTGTCGTCAAAGATCTCGGCATCATATACACTGTCGTTAAGCCAAGTCTCCGTTAAAACAATTATATCATAGTTTGAATTAAGGACTTCATTATTAACATCTGTTAAGCTAGAGCGAAGACCGCGGACATTTTGATAATAACACTTTAATGAATCGAATTTAACCTGAAATACTATACAACCACATGTTTATAATTTTATAAAATATAATAAACTACGACAAATTTAAAAGAGATTCCGAATTTTTAATAAGTTTATAGTCCGATGATTTGTTTTTCCGCATAAATACACGACCGTTCTTGATCCACACGAATTCATATTTCAATTCCTTTGCTTTGATACGCGCTTCTGCATGTAATGCCTTGGTGGCTGGTGGCAGGTGTTCAGCAACGTATATAGGATATTTTTTTCCTCCGATTCCCAAATGGCTGGTATTTAGTTTATCCTCGTTGCATTTTGCTTGTTTATTAAAAGTTATAGTCGCTGCAAGGAAGGTATCCCTAATCCTTGGGCTACTGAATTTGACTAGTACAGAGCGTGGTCGGGGACTTTCCTTGTTAAATTTCATTATTCTGCTGCAGCTCTGAATATCAGTGTCAGCAATGTTACATTTAACGGAAGCGGCCAGTTGTTTTACTGTCGATACAATATTTTCGGATCGATGCTCAGGAATACATTGAATTTCTAGGTTACTGGCTCTAGATTGATTTTCGAGTAGATTAAGTCTAGCTTGAAGGTCACTAACTGTGGTCTTTAAATTATTATTATTAGCCTGTAGCAATTTTATCTCGTCGTTTTTGGCTGAAAGTTCTTTTTTAATGGTTTCATATTGGTCTTCAAGGAAGTTGATTGAAGCCAGAACTTCATTAGTTTTTGAGGTAAATTCATCCAATATACTTTTCTTAAACACGTCTAGCAACGATTTCATCTCTTCTCTAACAATAGACCGAACGTCATCAAGATCTATTTCAGCTGTAGTAGGTCCCATAATCTTTCGTTCGCTGTCTTTTATACGGCGAGTAACGTTGCAACTTTGATCAGCATATTCCTCCAAAGCTGAGTTAAATAGTGAGCCTCTAATAGGTGTATTTGTGTTGTCGCTCTTTGGTCTGGCACAGATAGGACAAAGCCATGTACTCTTATAGTTCTCGGTAAGCTCGGCATAGGATGTTTTGGATGTCGAAACACAGTTGTAATGATATCGCTTTTTGCATGAACGACACAACATTACTTCTGTTGAACTTGGGAGCCGATGGCAACATTCAAATTTACTCTTAGATGACATGATTATATATTTTATTTGGTTTTAAAAAATTTGTAGAAAAATTTTAAATTTACTTCGACTAGTTGGGATCGATCTCGGGTCTGCCGGTTAGTAGATCGAGAGCTCGACGCACTGCGCCAATTTGTTGCTAACGTTTGTAGCGAAATACTGGTTCTTATGTTGAGTGAAGCGATCAATATGAGACGGTATAATGATGATAATCGTTTTTAGAGTACCTCACAATTTTACAATTGTAGCACTATTACCGTTTTCACTTATTATTCATCACGATATAAATATATGTACTTCGTTTATCTTTCTTGAGAATGCACTTGTTTTTATACACACTTTAACGGAGATGCACTAATTATGCTATATTTAAACAGCACTACGATCTTACTTCGATATTATCGCTTTTTAAAAGTATTTATACGGAGCTATTGTTACGAGCGTCATTGCGCGCGCGCTGCTCTATTTAATGGTTTACGACTATTATTATTTTTATACAGAACGTAATTTAATGTGATCCAATCGATTATTTACTTTTAGTTGTAAAACGTATAAATTGTAATTCTGAGTATCATAAAAACGAATGACGTCAAATACTGCTTTGAAGACGATTAAGTTTCTTTTAATTACCTAGTTTCGATGTTTTCATTATAAAAGTTTTGCGCTAAAACTAAATTATTAATAGTATTTGCAATTTATTCTGTACGTATAAATTTATACATATATATATAAAATTGAAGTGTCTGTTTGTAATGTTAAAATAACACCTTTTTACTAAATGCATATGATATTACACACGGTACTTATACGAAAAACACATTTTATTTGTCTGTCTGTCTGCCGCTCTGTCTGTTTGTTCCGGCTAATCTCCGAAACTATACTGATTTTTACGGGACTTACACTGGCAGATAGATAGTGTTAGTAATTAATTTTAAATAAGACTACAGAGATTCAGAAATTCCTCTTTACTTCGATCACTTTAATAGAATCCTCGAAAAAGGGCAATTACAACTATTTATACATGATTTCCCCACCGTTGGGTGTAACGTGGCGGCATCTGTCTTCTAGTATAACATTACCCAACGGTGGATGACAATACTCTTAAAACATTAATATTACAAATACAACAAACCGATATCTTTATTAATATTATAAAATTGTAAATTATAAATTATAAATAATCAATATCAAATTAATATAATAAAATATAAAATTATAATTAACAAAATATGAAGAATCAGTATGATCCTTAAATAATAAACAATAATAGTCAATTGAGCAACTATAACTAACAATAGTGTCATAAGGAGTAACTTAAATTAGATACGTTTTATTGTATCTGCGCTTCCACTCAGAAAAATTAAAACGTTCCTAGGGACGCACCCGAGCAAAGCGAGGGTAAGTCACTTGTTAAATATAATTTTGTAATTCAGTTTGTGCATAAGAATTATTAATTTTCACAATTTTTAATTTATTTTATGACATTAGTAGAGGCCTACAGAAAGAAACCTTGTGCTCAAATTTTGTGTTAATTTCAGTAGCAGCGTAACTAATGAAGAACTATAGAGTGAAGCAAGGTAGTAGGGATTTCAAGCACGATTAAAGTGTTTGTAGAGAGGTGGGAGTCCTGCCCAAAGCCCGATTGCATAGCCACAAACTCTCATTCGCATTTATCACAAAATAGTTGTAATTTTAGAGCATTATCCTTTACATTCTGCATATACTCTAGTGAATTTTGGAAAATATTTTTTGATAACTTCAAAAAAGAGAATTCAGGTGTATGTATTGGGTTTTTACAGTGTATTTTATCAGCGATGTCTTTTTAAATTGTAAACCGATTTTAATTATTTTTTTTGATGAAAAATTCAAATGTTAAAATTTGAAGATAAGAAATGCTTTTAAAGCGATTTTGAAATCCGTATACGTGTAAAGGACCTAATTGAAGTAAAATTGTTAAATAAGTTAAAACTCGAAGGGTTGATGTAATCTGAATTTATTATCTATACTAAACATTTAAGCTTTTGCTTCAGACAGTTTTATAAGAAGTAAAACCAAAGCACGAAAAGCCAATAACTAGATGTAATCCCAAAGGAAATAAAAGCAAACGTACGTTATCCGATTTAGATAATGTTTGGGGATAAATTGAGTGTAAAATAAAACTGAGTAGAACTTGTAACGTAACAGTTGCACAGTTAAAAGTTGGCATTACCTAGCCCGCGGCATTACCCGAATTCACTACTATAACTTCTGGTCTTCCCACGAACATATCCTTCACACTATTTTAATACTACAATTTACATTTTAACTAAATGTCATTATCATTTTTAAAGTATTTTAAGTCTTAAACTATTATATTATAAAGAATAATAAAAATTAAGAGGGAACTAAATAATTATAATTTTTGTAATTTTAATGGAATACCAGGATTATATTTACGAATTTTTAATAATTGTATGTTACTATAATATCTGACATATTGATAAATAAATAAATATAAAAACTTTTTAACAAAAAAATAAAAACCGACTTCAAACAAAAGCACTAAAAAGTAAAAAATAACTGATTGTTAGTTTTCATTTACTATACATACCTAATCAAATATTTTCGAAGTCGGTGTGCTTTGCTTTGTATGGGCTGGCACCGATTTCGAAAATATTTGATTAGGTATGTATTTAATAGGTAGGCTTTAATTACTTAGCCAAAGCACACCGACTTCGAAAATATTTGATTAGGTATGTATAGTAAATGAAAACTAACAATCAGTTATTTTTTACTTTTTAGTGCTTTTGTTTGAAGTCGGTTTTTATTTTTTTGTTAAAAAGTTTTTATTTTTCCCTTTTTAGTGTAGACAGTAGTAGCAAAGTAAGAATTCCAACGTGTTAGGCTTGTCAAATCAAACAAAATAAGCCCAAACTCAAAGTATCTACTATTAGCCGTTGAAGAGTTCCACCTATCCACCTTCTGGCCTTGCCATCAGATCAGTTCAACAACACCGAACCACTGTACTATCAACGGAAATAGAAATAATTGCAAATTTAAAGTTAATATGACAATTAGAAGTAGGTTAAATTCATCATTAGCTATTTTTCCACCCTTGGGGGTGGTATTTTTTTTTGAAATTTAAATGGGACCAATCTGGAAGTATACACTTTCAAACAACACAAAAATTGTCCAAATTGGTTAATAAATGACGGAGTTCTGAGGTAACAAACATAAAAAAAAAAACAAAAAAAAAATACAGTCGAATTGAGAACCTCCTCCTTTTTGAAGTCGGTTGAAAATACATTCTAATTTGTCGTAACGAAAACATAATGTCATAGAATTCTTTCTTATAAAATTTATTTGAATAGAATATCAATGATGATTACACGACAGCTGACATGGCAAAAGCAATTTCACCAAAAAAGATATACGCAAAACTTCTTTCCTAGTTACAAAGGGCCATTAGGAAATAAAACAAAACAACTGTCATCAACGTCAACTCTACCATCATACTGTTTTATTGATTTCCACTATATCGATAGGTCAGACGCGATACAGAACGCAAACTTAAACGAATGAAGTAAAACAACCACGTAAAGTACTTTTTTGTTACTTATATGTACAAAATAACAATAGAATTAGCATTTTTAAAACGGTTTACGAATTAAAGTGAAATGCTCCTAGTAAAAAATCTGTTAAGTTGTAAACATAGATTAAAAAAGGAAAGTTTAGTCACTCTGCAGTTTTAACGGGCTATAATTTTAAAAGTCTAGCAGTTCTATAACATTCCCAGTACAAAACCCGACAAGAGGTTAAGTTGATAAATTATAGTAGAACCAGCGCGGTTCAATGTATCTCCATCAGCACTTCGTGGTGCAATTTAAAAATAACTGTAATTCCTCGTCTTTATGATCTTTTTATCCGATTACAGTAGCTTTGAAAAGAGGATGGGCTATTGCAGTTTCTGATTTATTATATTCGTGTGCTTTGTATGGTCTTCATTGTACTATTGTACTTTGTTGTTCAAATTTAATAAATAAAGAAAATCATTACTTTACTCTGGAAGTTTTATCGTACAATCATTTATGTGTAGACGAAAATACAGCTGTTCATTTGTTATGTGTTTCAATTACAGTTATTCTTTAAATAACCAAATAATAGTTGTTATCATTAGACCATAGTAGCAGTTAATTCTTAGATACTATTGCCAACAAACTATGCATTCAACATAACAGAATATTTTAAAAATAATTCTACAAAATAAAATTCAGAGCGCTACATTACGCTCTGCTGTGATTTATCTTTGGATTTTCCGTTCTTTTCGCATGCATGTATGGCGTAAAAAGTGTCATACATACAAGTAACAGCGTTATTGTATCCGAACTTTGAACCCAGGAATGATAAATGCGCGGCTAGAAGCAGACTACGGATACAAGCTACTTATCACGATACCCGCTTGTGCATGGAGAATTTATTTAGAACCGTAACTTAAAATCCATCGAAAATCCAATAGAGTTGTATGACTGAAAGTTATCTATTTCCATTCGACCTAGTATAGAAATAAGTCTAAGTTACTGTATAGAAAAATAAGCTTGCCCAAAGCATTAAAGGTTTTATAGTCTATAATATCTATTATAAGTGTGAAAAATATTGTTACATTAAATACTTTATGATGAATTTACTAAAAATTCGGATATTTGTGATTATATATCATAACTAGCGGCTCACCCTCGCTTCGCTCGGATTCGCCTCTAGGAAAATACTAATAGAGATCTATTAGTTCCCATGGGAACCGTTCATTTTTCCGGGATAAAAAGTAACCTGTTGTTTATTAGGTATCAGAATGTTAAATTTTACTAAATTAGGTGCATAAGTTGTTGTGTACTAAGCTGTATAAAATACTATAGTTTTTTAACTATCCCACGGGAAATCTTTAATTTTCTGGGATGAAAAGTATCTAAGATGTTGACTGG